TCCCTTGCCCTTGACCATGGCACGTGGTCGAACTCGCTCCTCTTCTCGATGGCGGTGAACTCGTTGATCTGCATTGGATGAAGATGCCATCGTCGAAGCTTGGGCCACAATCTTCTGCTCCTGCTGAGCTAGCCGCAAAGCTTCCTGTTCCAAGCGCTCTCGACGGAGCTGGATGCGACGGGCTTCTCGAAGTTGTGGAGCACGGACCACCTGGAGCAGCGTCTGCCAAACACCCAAGAAATCCCAGGTGCAAAGCCGCAGCAACAAACGTCGCCAGCGCGCGACCCATCGCTGGTACATTACGACCGAGCGGATGAGGATCGTCAGCCCAGGGCATAGGGTCTCGAGTCCATGCTGTGCTGCGGCGGTTGGAGAAATCAGTGGGAATGCTGTAGCCCTTTCCAAACTCGACGATCGACACTGCGACGTGGCCGGTGCTCAAACGATGCATGCGCTGCTTGCAACCAATGGACATGTACAAAATCTCAAAGTTTTTCATGTCGATGACTGCGCCCAAATCACTCAAAAAGTAGGCGGGCAACAAGAATGGGATGTCCCCTGGAACAACTTGGCACCGAAGAACACCTGAACATCCAGCCAAACCAATGGGGACATATGCAATGTGGGTCATCTCCTCCGTCCCGCAAACACCTCTGACCGTGCCCCCAGCTTCAGTGGACCACTGCACACGTAACCCATATTGATCTTGTAGTAGACGATCGTGGTTCTTGAGGGTGTCCATGCCAACCAAACCATGCTGTGCAGCGGTGTCCACCAAAGCTGTACCTTCAGTCTTGTTGACACCTAAAAACACAAAGGAAAGCCCCATGAATCCCTTCCCACCATCCATAGCGCTGCACACGTATTCCACCGGCTCGGAGGATTCGTAAAAGTTTCCAGCTCCCACCAGTTTCGGTGGTTCTACAAAGAAACCAGCGCTCGATCTCGGTGGTGGAGATGAGGGCTTGTTGCGGTGAGGACATTCTTTGGACCAATGACCCACTTGTCGGCATTGGTGACATCGGCTCTTGGCTTTCAGCTCATTCAGCGACAGGCGAGATCCCTGGCGCTGCATCCATGGTGTCGTCGGCCGATCATAGCCTCGACCGTTGCGAACAGCTTGCAGCATCTTGCGGTGCTCAAGGTAACCACCTTTGCCATGTCCAGGGTGGTTCATGAAGGTCTTGCTCTTGCCTTTTCCTTTCTTGCCTTTGCCCTTGCCTTTTCCATGAAGGCGGTGCTGGGTCTCAAAGAAGATCTCCTCGATCTGGTTGGACATGGTCTCAATGGCCTCAACCTCTTCCATGACCACCGGCAGCTCTTCAGCAAAGATCATCTGGGCCTCATTGTTATCATCCAGACAGACGAAGTCACCTAAGACTCCATCGTCATCAACCTCCATGGCATAGGTGGCATAGTCGTCATCCTCCATGCCATCATCATCATCTTCTTCCCAGAAGGTGTTGCTGCGCCACCGTCGTGGTGTGTGAGGTCCATCATGTTGATGAGACTCATCCAACCTGTCGCCAAAGATCTTCTGTACAGCTTTCTCGATCTCCTTGTAGTCGATGCTGCCATCGGTCACGACCTTCAATCTCTGTCGTTGATCCTGGGTGAATGCACCTTGTCTCAAAATCAGGTGCCCAAGCAAATGCCTGCCAGCAGTGGTGCTGAGCAGATCCAAACCTTGCTTCTTCAACTCAGCGAAGGCGGCCTTCTTGTTGGTGAGGAATGCCGTGAGCGATTGTCCACGCTCTCTTCGTCCACGGAAGATCGCATCGTCAAAGGCGGCCTCCAATCGCTGATCTCTCAGGTACTCGTGAGCATCTTCAATGATCTTCAAGATCATCTTGTGTCCATTATCGCTGCAGATCTCGTCCACAGTGAGGTGTGCCAGAGATGCTCCGAGTTTGCTGCCGATCGGGATGCTGTCGATCATGCGCTTCCCAATCAAATTGAGAGGCAGTCTGGCTTCTGCCTCGATGAGCCACAGCTGAAGATTCCGGTGAAATTCACGATACTGTTTCTCCGGATTTTCTCCTCCCCATGATGGTGCTGGGTCCAGTCGGTAGTCGACATACTTCTTGGGGGAGCCTCCAGTCGGCGTGGCTGGTGCTCGAACATCCTGGGCCTCCAACCATGGATCATGCCCTTGAAGAGGGTCAGGAACACGGCCAGGAAGTTCGGCAGAATGGTGAAGGGGTCCCTGAGATAGAACAGGCGAAGTCACTGGCGTAGCCATTGCCTTAGGCGAGGCCATAGGTGGTGGTGTTGGCGCTGATACCCTCTGTGAAGCCGAGGGGGATGCCGTAGCCGGTTGAGATGATGTTGCACCAACTCCACCTCGCCATGTTCTCTGCTGGTTTCCACGTCCGCTCATGCTCAGGAAAACTTAAACAAAGTCCCAGCGTCAAACTGGTAATCGAAGAACTCAAAAAGGAAAATCTCGTTGGGCTCAATGATGTAGCTCCCGGACGTGGTCCGTACAAAGAGTAAGTAAGCGGCCGTCAGGCCAGGTCCTTGGTGCTGGGGCGTCCCCCAGCTGCCGCAGACCACGTCGCGGGAGCCCCGGTCGTCACCGGGGCTCCGCTACCATGCAAAACGCTCGAAGCGCGCAGCGGAAACAAGCCTTTTCACGCAAGGCTCAAAGGGCCCCTCATTGGGCCGCAAGTTGCGGAAACGTAAGGTTTCGACCGGCCGGCAAGTGACATGGGGTCAACTGTCTTTCGTTTCACAAAATATATATATATATATATTGAGTCGTGATGTTCAAGCTGTGCCTGAACATGCACGAAAGTACTGGGAGGATCCGCACATTCCTTCCAACAAGTTACCAGCTTGGACTTGTACGGTTCCGCAACCGGTCGTGTTTGAGGTCAAAAGATGTAACAAGTAAGAAGATGTAACAAGCTCTTCAAAAAACTGTTGCGCCCTGATGATCCGGTCACAGGGCCCTTTATTCCTGTCGCCCAGCGGCTGCCTTTGCCCAGCGCTTGACAGCTATGCCAAGTTCGCGGAGCTGGGGACACATGTTGGAGTATGCTTTGAGCAGCTCCGTGTTCACCAAGGCAGCATTGTTCTGAAACGTGAGGTCCACCTCATGTCGGTCTTGGAAAGTGCCCATTGTTTCGGCTCGAGCATCTTATTTTGGGTTCGCCAAGGATTGCAACAAACCAAGAAAATGGTCATTGGTGATCAATTTTTCTGCTAGCTTGTTGAGTTCCCCCGATCAACATGTCGGACATCCAAATGAATTTGTGAATGAGTTTCCGAAACATCCCCCTCCCTTGTCCGAAGCAGCACTTGTAATTGGCAATGGAAGGGGTTGCAGACTACGAAAGTTTGGCAAGGGCACAGAAAGCAACTCTCAAAGGAAACTGATGCAATATCAAGATTTGAAGGCAATGGGAAAAGCAAAAGGCCCGCCTCCAAGAAACCAGCAAACTTCATCTTGACCACAGGCACTCTGGCAGTCCATATCTCTTGAAAAACTTCAATACCGGCGGCTTCTAAGGTACTCAATACCACCTGGCGCTTTTCTGCAAAGATCTCCAACGCTGCTGCAACGGCGACGTTTGGGATGACGCAGGTCAAGTCTAGGTCTGAGTCCTGCCATATCCCACGGAATCCCACATTCATATGCAAAGTGTATCAACTATATACACATCTACTTTTTGAGAGTCAGAGATCTCAAGCAGGAAATGCTCTAAGATGCCATTGGGAATGGCCTGTTGTGGCAAACGCTGCTTTTCAGGGCCGCTTCCTTCGGCATACGCGACACCGCCAATTCGGCATCCTGACCTTCCTTTCCCATCGATATGGAGGCTTGCTTATGTGAAGAAAGCTGTTGCACTTGGACCTTGTTGTTCGACTCATCTCTTTTGCCCAGCGCCCGCTTGGACAATCGTTAAACCGCCTTCATGGCGCAAACGAAAGAGCTGCCTGCTCTCCAAGGTTGGTTACACCGGGTTGGTGAGCATGGAGGTCATGGAAAGGGATGATTCGAAGAGAATCCGGGTCCACTTCCCACAACATGGCCCTCTCCAAGGCCGTCACCAGAGCTTGAGAGCGCCAACTGGATCGAAATCCGATCGCTCGGGGAAGTCGGAAGTCAAGAGCCTCCCCGTGCACTTTTCACATCCGCCGAACAACAGGTCACGGTCACTGGTCCTGATTTTGCCGGCACGTGTGCATCATCACATTGTGTGTGTGCATGTTCCTGCATCGGTAGCGACTCGAATCAGAGTGCAAGGAGCAATCTATAACAGTATAACTATATACCTGTTACGCACAATTACCACTATGATTTTGTTCAACCTTTGCACAGTTGTTGTGCATCTATGCAGCTCTATGGATCTCGGACTCTAGCTCCCAAGCCACGTATCCGCCCAGCTCCTTGCTGCTGAAGCCATTAGCACTGCTGCCAAAGGGCTTCACCACCCAAGTGGGATCCACTTTGTGAAGTGTCTCTGTCAGCAATTTTATGCACGAACTTCGGACGTTGGCTTCGGGAGCAGGAGAGGCTTGCCGACCGAGTTGCTGAAGACCTCTGCAAAGGGTCGCACGACAAGTGTAAAACGAATGTGGAACGAGTGTGCAATGAGTGAGCAACGTCTCATGGCAGATTTCATTTTTGCTAAGACTTCATCCAGGTCACAGTTGTGTAAAGCCAAAGCCTCAGTCCAGCATGTCAAGCCAACCATCTGACATGCGAGAATCTTTTGCCAAGCAGCCTTCAAATCAAGCACCATCGCACTCATGGCTAATCTTGTCCGCGCATGGCTTTTTGCGCTACGTCAGCGAAAACCACAAATGGCTTCGACGGGCAATAGCGTTTGAGCCAAATGCCCAAGGCATGTGTCCATGCATAAAAAGTAGACACTGACACTATATCAGCAAAAGTAACAAAATAGAACTGGAGATGCCTCAGTGCAAATATATACAATCATTGCCATGAATACGCATCTGATTCATTTTAAAAAAATCAGAAAGTCTCCGACCACCTGCTGGGCTGAACATTCAGACACCCGTTGCCGGACCTGTCAAGTGCAGGCGAAAGAGGAAGGCTGAAGTCCGACGAAACTAGGGCGACACAAACGGCGGCCCTGCCCGATCTGCCTGTGCTGTCCGCCCTGCCCGCCCTGCCTCTGTGGAAATATGGCCGAGGAGTTGGGCATCCCTCATCAACATTTTTGCCTCCCAGCACAAAACCATACATCTCCCCAAAGCAAATCACATGAGCACGGAGTCTGGCTCTCGGCAAATCGCTGCCTGCGCCCATGCAACGTTTGTAAGAGCTCTCGGGTCCACATGGAACTGCCACCTCAGAACTTGTGACCTACATAAAAGTGGCAACCAATGAAAATCTGGGCTGGCATTTCTCAAGCACACGACTCATTCTGATCATTCTCTGAAGAGGCTGCCCTGACAAAGTAGTCAAGGGCTCTTGCAACCCGGCACTTTGGGCCACATCCCCGCCTGAACATTTCACCCACCCTGTCCTAAGTAGCCAAATCTGCACAAAAGCATGGTGACTTTTTTCACATAGTTTCTTCGAAAGCACCCTTCTTCTTCGTCTTCATCTTCCTCCATTGAACCCACGCCAAGGCTCGAGGAGCAAACGCAGCCGCGGGTCGTGTGAAGTGGTCGCAGCCGTGGCTAGTCCGGCTTGACATTTGGCCAAGCGGTGGACCGCAGTGGTGGCGTTCACCACGCTTAATCTAAGTCCAAGAGCTCCAAAGAGAGGAATCGAAGCAGCGAAAAGCGAGAAAAACAATAATGACAAAATAAGTTTTTTTCGGATAGCAGCAAAGAGAAAAGTCAAAGAGACTATATATATATATAAAGTGACGGAAGGGCCTAGGGATCCTTTTAACAAGGCCCCCAGTCTTCACAGCCAACCCCGCCCTCGAGTCAAGAGAACGTTCACTGCACCGTTCAGCGAAAAGTCGGATGAGGCCACGGCTCTTGCAGCCGACCATGGACGAAGGCCAAAATGGCCTCCCAAGCGCTCATGGGTTCCATGAGATTGTATACATGGCTCTGAGTTCCTCTCTTCACCGTTTTTTGAAAGGCTGCTGAATGATTTCTTGAGCCCGTGTTGCTGGCCTCGCCATCCTGCCCTGCATTCAGAATGATGTCATTGAACCTTCAGCGCTCGAGATTCTAAAGAGGAACATCCCTCACGGCTGGAGAGGTAAGGACTCTTTGCCCTTGGATTGCTTGAAAGGACGTCTTGCCTGCAACAGTGCGTCTGAAAATTCTCACAGCATCTGAGAATGGTCATCATGTGCAAGCTTGACCAGCCTCCAAACCGAATCTGGGGCCTGGTGAAAAGGAAAACCTGCAGCTAGATTGATGAGTTTGAGCTCTTGACCCTTTTCCAACTTGATTCCCGTTGTTGGAAAAGTGCGGAGTGTCTCTCCACCTCGGCTTTTGCACCTCTGCCGACACACCTGAATGTCAGGGAAAACCGGAGCAGTAGAGATTTGGGCAAGAAAAACCCGAAATGCGACCCTGACACTCTCCCTGTCGTGACTGTCAGGGATATGACGAATGATGTCTTCAGTCCCCTAAAACATCCACCTTGATCAATGATCCTAATGTAAGACTTAATGATCCTTTTGATTCGTGGAATAGGCCTGGGCCCCGTGTCTGTGCTTGAACCCTGCTCCACAGTGGTTGAGACCAAGCGGCCACAACCGGTCTTGTCAGCTTTCTCGAAGGGACTAGTCACTCACCAGGGATCTTGCAAGGATTTGGAGATATTCCAAATATTGGAATACATTGGTCATTTGAGGTAAATGGAGCTTCGCCAAAGATAGGTACGAATTCCAGATCAGCCCGGGCTGAAGGGATGGGGCATACTCCACATATAGAAGACATTGGAATCTGCGAAGAATGTGAGACCCCCCTCCTTCACCGCTCCCACTCAAGCTCTTGTTGCATGCTGTATTTTCTAGCGAGGAGAGAGCACCTGCATAGATACCGGCTACTTCATCTGGCGCCAAAGGCGCAAACTCTCCTGGATGGAGTTGCTTCGAATTCTTCGCCAACGTGGCTGGCTTCACTTGTGGCTCCGGCTTTTCGAGGGCTTCTTTCGCTGCTTCTTGAAGACAAGCAGGTCGAAGAGCTGCATCACCCAGGCCGCAGGTTCGAACGCGAAGAAGCTGCATACAACAGTATCCCACTCCACGCATCATCCGCCGTACCATCCGGAAGCGTCCCTCTGTGACCACCAGGCGCAAACGGGCAAAGCGACCGTCAAAGTCAGTGACTTCAGCGCACTTCGCCCTTGCCACATGCCCGTCCGACAACACAATACCTTCAACCAGGGAGTTCAAACACTCCTTTGAGGGCGGCTGTCTATTTTTGGCACAGTTGGTCAATGCGATGTACTCCTTCTCAAAGCCCTTTCCTGGAGAAGTCACAAAGTGCGAAAAGTGGCCATCTGTTGTTAGCAGCAAAATACCTTCACTGTCTCCATCCAACCGGCCTGCATGGTGGAGGGAGCTTGGCGCTCCCAAAGGAAAGAAATCAGCCGTCGTGGGTTTTCGGCTGAATTTGTCTGGGCGTTGGGCCGAAATGACACCGCGAGGCTTGTAAAACTTCAAGTACCAATCAAGGTGTGGTGGCATCAACCGGTTGACTCCTGCAGCATCGCGCATCACAACATAGTTGGAGGCTGAGACCAAAGACAGTGGATCTGTGCAAGGGACTCCGTCCACAGAAACCAACCCATTGGAAATGCAGCGAATGGCTTCTGCTAGAAAAAGCCTAGCCTCAGCGTGACCCTTCTGGTCAGACGGTTCATTGTGGGATGCCAAAATCCGACGAAGTAAAGGTACTGCCGTTGACTCAGGAACTAGGGCCGTTGTTGCACAAAAGCAACCATATATGCAGTAGAAAAAACATGAGACCAGGAGTCTGCTCCGGTGGACCTTTCGCAGTGCTCTTGTGACCATGGCCATGACAAATTAAATGTGGTGGAGGAGCAGGCTGCTTCGAACACTTGGGGACAAGAACGGCTGCGGATACGTCTGTAGGAAGAAAGATCCTTTATTCGCTGTGTTCCTCTCAGCTAGGTCCACAGGACGTGCCTGCAGCAGGACTTTCGTCACCACTGAGAGACATTACATGGCTCCATTCAATTGGCTCTTGCAGCGACGATGAGAGGTGACTAAGAGTCGGAATGCGTGACATGAGGCGTGACATATCCTTGCACAAAAAGAAGCTTGCAAGCTAAGAGTGAAAAAAAGTAAAAACTGCTGAGAGCCCTGAACTGTTGAAAGCCGAAGCGGGCAACCGACTGTCTCCCACCCACACAGGAAACGAAAAGAAGCATCATGCATGAGCAGGTCTGACGATCCTTTTTTGACTCCTCCTGCTGCGCACGCAAGACTCCAATTGAACACAGGAGTGCTTCAGTTCTTGGTATTTCTGTGGTACAGAGATTTGTACGGTGTTCTGAACTTTGCTCCCCTGTTGTTTGAGGTTTAAGGAAGCTGGAACTTCACTCTGGATAGAGTTCACCTACTTCCTGCTTCAACAATGGAGCTCGCGAAAGAGCGATAGGAAGAGCGAGCAAGAGGTGTGATTCATGGAGCTGGCTGAGCTGGCTCAGAAAGGCGGCGGTTTCATCTCCTGAACAACAAAAGTGCCAGGAACCAAAGCTCGATACCAAGAACGAAGCTTCTTAAAGGCAAATCATCCTCTGCATTCATCATGAGTGTTTGCTTCCACACTCCGTCATGTTTTAGAAGTTATGGTATTTAGTGCAAGTGAAGCAAAACAAAAAGAGAGAAAGAGATAGTCAGCATAGCCTACTTGACCTTTGTGCTGGAAAAAGAATCATGACCAATGCACTTTTGTCAACATCCGACCTCGAAAGCAAACCAATCGCCCATCCGGAAGCCCATACCTCGACAAGCACATCTTCAAAGAATGACAAAAAAACACAGAGTTGCTTTCGAATAGCGATGGCCTCCAACCTAATAGCGATGTCCTCCAACCTAACATCGATAGCCTCCAACCTAATAGCGATGGCCTCCAACCTAATAGCACCGAGTTGCTTTCGAAGATAATTCTTGACACAACATGTCCTATCGTTGCAATGCGGCGTTTCCTTGCATTTGCTTGGACCAAGTATTCAGAGTGGGCCGCTGGCTAAGTGCATGACCACTGTTGATCAAACGATCAGCGTACCATGTCTGTCCCACAACAGTGGCGTTGAGCACACCGCCTCCCAGCAAACGCTGACCACGCATCAATCATGGAGACCAAATCCAAGTCCAACAAACAAAGCAAGAAGCAGCTTGCGCAATGTGCTTCGTGCGCTTTTTGCTCAAGTCATGGTCCCAAGGCAGTTTTTCTATCCAAAAGCATCATTGTTTCTCGCTTGATGGGACGTGTGCAATCATGAACCAAGACTCAATGGACAGCCGATGGAAACAAGGGAATGCATATTAACAGCACCCGTGTTGCAAACAAGACGCCGACAACTGGCAATTTCTCCTTGTCAAAGCGCAACCTTGGAGCTCCAACACAGCAGTAACCATGTGGAACTCAACTTGTTCAACTAAAGCTGCGGGTATCGATGGTCTCGCTTTAGGTCTCAGAGTTCCAAAATTTGTCCCAGCCACGTCATGGCCATTTCAACCGCACATCTTGCAGTCTCAAAATAACCATCACGGCCCACCAGGCCGCACCTCGGGATTATATACTTCCTTTGCATTCGCAAAAATGATCGGCAAATCGATACTCCACAATTTTCCAAACCAGGCAGCTGGCCTTGCTTCATGACCGCCAGTAGTCTGTGCCCACATATTGATACCTTGAGACCAAATGAGAATCGGAAACCTACATATTGAGACAGGACTTCTCTAGGCTGGGCTGCACTAACTATTACACAAATGCACTGCGAATGCTGCCCAAGTACTTATGTAGGCATCATCCAGCGCGTTGAGATCAGGACCTGAACCTTGCTGAAAATACAGCCCCTTCTCCTTCAAAGCAGCCTCACCAAAACATGAAAGAAAGTGTTGCGTTAGTTCCACATGGAAGGTGCCAAGAAATAGCTGTGCTTGTGCCTTTTCATCAGCCACTGATGGTCCTGCAGGAGCTTTCACCCCAGAGGCCGCCATTTGAGCAATTTCCGGCGGCAGCATCAGAAACTCCTCATTCAAGCACATGGCATCATTTCTTGTCCAGCTTGTGTTCTGGTCAAGACAATTGCAAACTGCTACACTATTCGTGTGGTTCTGCGGTCTGCTGCTACTGGCTGAACTCACAGCATTGAACTCACAGCCGTATAGAGTGGAACCTCCGGCCTGGAAGCAAAAGTCCTTTCCATACGGCTGGTTCATCCGGTCCGCGAGCAGGGCATTGGAGCGTCGACAAATACGCGTATCAAAGTAAGAATACCTCAAGCACTCGCGGTAATCTGTTTCAACGCTCTCAGGATGGTCTAGATTCTACGCTTTGGAGCATGTCTCACTTCAGCCAATTTAAAGGTCAGATTCAAAAAACGAGGCACATATGAGGAGCTCTCCAAACACCTGCGAAGTCCACACAGAAGACTGTTTTGCTGATGACTCCATCAAAACGCTTTCTTTGTCTTGGGAGATCGCCACACTACTACTTAGCACTGTCTTCCTCTAGTGTGTTGTGATGAAAAAATGCAGTGCAACAAGCCAGAGGACCAATTGCATGTCCGTAAATACCACGCGCGTGCTGCTCTATTCAGATGGATAATTGTAGACATAATAAGAAAAAAACACACACACACACACACTTCATGTCACTTATTCACAACATCCCAGCCAAGAAAGTGGCCTGTGTACGGGCACTGAGAAACTTTGGAAAGTTGCGCATCGGTGTCCTGCAAAAAGAGACCTATATAACTAAAGAATTGCACTACGGCTTCGACTGCTCTTTGCCCATTGCTTCCAAGAAGTAGTTCATGCTTCAACTACAGGTCTGTTCACAGTAATGACAAGAACTACAGTGGTCCTCCTTTCGAACCTTGTGAGTCACTTTGCCAGTCCCTGTCTGGATATTCATCTCTTTCATGCCATTCCTGCACACTGCCACTTGTAGGTCTCTGGTGTTTGCTACAAGCAGAGCAGCACACCCCATGCAAATGATTTTTGCATTGGCCTGTCAAAGGACGGAATGAAGCCTCCTAGTGCGAATGGGTCTGCCATCCTTGACAAACTGCATCATAAGGAAGGGTGCATAACAGTTAGAAGCTGAAACGAACAAAACAGAAGGAGTAGAAAATGAATAGTGCTGATGGTGCTACCTTCTCCGTCCGTTCTTGCCACTCTGCAAAAAATTAGTTGCAGCCACTCTTCAGTTTTCTAGTCTCATCGGAGGCATTGCTCATGGCTCCGCGGCTGGCCAAAGTACCTCCAGACCTTGGCAACGTAAGTCTGTCATTGGTACACTCCAGTCTCCGGTCTGTCAAGCGTGTTCATGTCTCTGCCAGGTTCAGTTCCAAGTGTCCCACTTTAGGTGCTGCCATGATCAAAGGAGTCACTCTGGGCCCCAGGCGCTCCAGCAACAGTGCCACCGCCAGTGAAGAAGCCAATGGACTGAGTAGTCAAAGGGTGGCCATTGGCAATGGAAGTGCAGTCAACCCTTTGATGCCAAGGTTCTCTTCGAAGCTCTTCTCCATGTTCTTCCCTGAAGAATAGTTGTCGAGCTATGGCCACAACATCAGCGCAAAACAAAACAATTGCGATCAAACTAGTTGTGGGTGTTTTTCTGTGGGTAAAGAGTTCAAGGCCTACAGGTTGAGATCAGGCCCAGAAAGGATCCCTAACAGTTGGGCACGAATTGGCAACTTTGAGCATTCGTCATTATATAGATGTATGACGTTTGCAGGTTTGTGAGCAAGTGGTGTGTGTGTGTGTGTGCATTTCTTAGACACCAGTGGTTTCAAAAGTGTGAACCGTTTCAATGTGTCATTAAATGTATGACGTTTGCAGGTTTGTGAAAGTGGTGTGTGTGTGTGTGTGCACTTGTTAGACACCAGTGGTTTCAAAAGTGACGTTTGCAGGTTTGTGCGCAAGTGGTGTGTGTGTGTGTGTGCGTTTGTTAGACACCAGTGGTTTCAAAAGTGTGAACCGTTTTTATGTGCCATGCCGGCATAATGACACGGCAACGTAACACCGCAACGACTCAGCATAGCACATGTGCCTACATATGTGGAAACCGCTTCCAGAACCGGGCTTGGAGCCAGCCTAGCACACAACAGCATGACCCAATTCTTGCATGTCCGCGCATGTCAGTGTGTCCCATGCCAGCATCGCTATGTTTTCGAAGAATATCCTTGACATGATGTCCTCGGCAGCTGCTAGGAGCTGCAAAACACATAACTTATGCCTGTTCAAAACCTAACTTCAGGCAACCACCATCTTTTTGGCTTTGAAAGAATGTCAGCTCCAGAAAGTGCTTAGGCGGTCATGATTGCAACTGAGAGTGAGTGTCAGAAAAAAACGCATGTGCAATAAACTACATATTATATATATATATATACGAGCGGATGTTTGACTCCGAAAGGGGCCTGCAGTCATCGAAGTGGAATGGCTTATCTTTGCCACTCCTCCTTTAGCATCTGAGCGTCTTCAAGCTCATTTGCTAACCTTTAAAAGGGTAAATCGGCAGAATCCATGAACGGATAGCGTTTGTCCATTCTCTTGTAAATTTCGAGCTTACGTTCATGATCCTTTTCACGGTCTGCCTTCTGCCATTCCTTCTGTAGGTTGAGCATGTGCTGTTTGGCACGTAATCCCGATCGGGCGCATGCCGAATCATAGCCCTTCAACTCTACAAGATCTTCCTGCGTCAACCAGGCACTTGTCGCCTGATTGATGGTAGGGTCTCTGACCTCAGGGGTAGGCAGATCTTCTTCTGCCCACTCCACTTCATGGGGTGCCTCGCTCACTTCCATCTGTGGTGCCGCTGCTTCATCTTCACTTTCCGGCTCACGCACCTCCACAAAATGCAGAGGAATCTGCACTACTTCTCCGCTGTCGAGCCGCACTGTCACTGTTTCTTCCTCACTTTCCTCCTGCATCTCTTCATCCTCCGTGTTGCGATAGGGCCGCAAGTCGATTGGCCCATCGTCCCGCTCATTCTCTTCCTTGTAGGCCTTGATCTGGGCGTGGATTCGCCTCAAGTCAAAGTCCCTGTTGGAGCGCTGGATGTAGTTCCAGTGCTGCCAATCCTCTTCACTCACCTCTTCCTTGTCAATGTATCCTGAGGCTTTGACCAAACCTCGATGGATCTTCTGGCTGTAGCTCTTCATTTCCTTCATCTCTTCTCGCATGCCTTGTACATAGGCCCTGGTGGACACTCCGTTGACATAGGCACTGTCCTTGGCGTCGGCAATCTTTGTCTTCAACTCCTCGACAATGCCCCAAAGCTTATACACCGCCCATGCCAGTGCTGCTATCATCAATGCCATGACCACCACAACCATCATCATGATGCCATTGCTCTTCTCCCCCTTTTCCTCAAGACCTTCGGTCCTCGATGCCGTGGCCTGCTCAAGACCCCCAACGAGTAGGATCCTGTTCAGCAACTTTGCCAGCTTCTGGATCTTCACCCGGTTCACTCGGCTCTCTTCCATCCTGGCATACTCCTCCTCGCCAAGCTTTTCATCATCTCCGCTGCGGGTGTTGCACCAATACAGGATCAGCATGATGCGGTTTCGTGCTAGTGGTTTCGTGCCCAAGTCCGCCACATTGTGGAGGGTTCCCACTGCCTTGACTCGAAGCTCCTCCTGAGCCACCAAATCCTGAATCCACAGCAGTTTCCCCGCTATGTGGCGCAGCTTCCCTGGGCCTCGTCGGTGACAGAAATGTAGGGCTGCCGAATTATCCAGCAGGCATTCATGGATCACCACCTCATCCACCAGGAACTCCAAGCACCACTTGAGATAGATTCCATCAGCTGCTGAGCTCACCAATGCATTGAGCTCTGCTTCGGCTGAGGATAGGGCCACACTCTTCTGTCCTCTTGAACTGGTGAAAATGACCACTCCGTTCAACATGTGGATCGCGGCTGAGGTGGATCGTCGATGGCTCTTGGATCCCGACCAATCACTGTCGCTGAAGGTCTCAATGATCCATCTGGCCTCCATAGTGCGACAGATCAGTCCTTGCCCTGGCTCTCCCATCTCTAGGGCGCTATGTTGGCCAAGCGTCCCCTTGAGGTAGCCAATGAGTTTTCCCAGTTTCCTCAAGCTGCTGGTCGTGGGAAATGACATAGTCGATGCCAACTCCTTGATCGTGTAGGAGACATCTGGCCTCTCTTGTGAGAGGTAGATCCCGCATCCAACTAGCGAGCGGTACAGGCTTGCCAACTCAGCCTTGAGCTCTACTGAGCCATCAGCTTCCAGAACTTCAGGACCACAAGGAAGCTTCTGCACCTTTGCTTTGCCCATTTTCTCCTCATACATCTCGATCATGCTCTCGGCATACTTCCCGGGCATCACCTTCAAACCACCTTCAATTTCCACATAGGTCCTCCTCAAGAACTGGAATGAGCTGCCCTCACCAGTCAAACGCTGCTCTGAAATCTCGAAGCTCTGCCTGAGGTCCGGGATGAACTGCTCCATCACGTAATCCTTCTCTCCAACAAACATCACATCATCCACGTGAATGAGGAGCATCATCTTGTGGCCCAAACGTCCAAGGCAAGGTTTGATCTCGGAATCCCTTGCTTTCAGCCAGTCAGTGAGATACTCGAACCAAGCTTTGGCTCCAATCCTCTGGCCGGGCAAGTTCTTCTTCACCTCAAAGTGACCACTGGCCGTGCTCACCTGTGTAGGTACTGCCTGAGGGACCTGCAGGACGCTCCTTGATATCCAGGGCACCCAAGGTGTACTCCAGTCCACCATGCTCCTCCTCTGCCTTCTTCATGAGGTAGATGGATGGTAGCAGCCGCAAGGCTTGTCCACCTGTCGCTGGACTGTGGACATCATCACGACGGTCGGTGGCATACTCTCTGGCTACCAGCCTTGACCTCCGCAGAAACTGTTTCGGTGCTCCTGGATGGTTCTCGGCTTGGCTCTCCAATCTCGCACGAATCTCGTGGTGAGACTCTTGTGTCCCTCCAGCCTCTTCTCCATTGGGGCGAGCACTCCAAGCCTCTCCAGCCGCTTCTCCTCCACCTCATCAGCCAGATCATCAACCCACTTCGGTGGGTCTGGAGGTACTCGATCCAAGGGTGCATCTGACCATAGGGCATCTGGAATCTCCAAGGGCTGTTCATCTTCCTCTTCATTCTCTTGACTCCACACGGCCATCTCCTCCTCGCCAATGATGTCGTGCATGTGGTAGTAAGACTCTGCTCCAACCTGGGTGACTTCAACTCTTCTCTCCATATTGGCATCTCCATCATGCCTTAGCCTCTTTGGCTCTGGAGTTGAGGCTTCGAGTGGATGCGCTGCCTTTTCCACTGTCATCTTCATCCTCTTCATATCAGTATTCTCCTGCTCCACCATCCCAGTCTTAGATGCCATGCTCCTTGGTGTTGACACTGTCTGCTGAGGCTTTGGGCGAGGATCTGAAGGTCCTGCTTGGTTCCTCCTTTCATCGATGACCAGGGGGTTGGATACCTTCACCAACTCTGGAACCTCCTCTTCCCCGAAATCCTGCTTCTTGTCCTCCGCCAATTGCAGCTCTGCCAAACTCTTCTGTTCTCCGCCTTCTCGTCCTTCAACTTGATTGGGCTCATCCTCCACCAGCTCTCTGGCTTCTTCTCTCTTTCCCGCATAGGACTTCACGAAGGCGAGAATCTCCTGAGCATCAACATCATCCGGGGATACCCCACTGCTCGGTGGTAGAGCTCGACTCATAGGCATGCCCACCATCGATGCCATCCTCTTCGAAGGAACTATCCGGCCTCCAAAGTTCTGCTGGTATTCCCAACTGTAGGCCGTGAACCCCTTGTAGCACATGAGGTTCTTCTTGCTGGACATCCTTCTCAGAGAGCGGCTCAGGTAGACCTTGTTGGCATCACCGATCACCCAGTTGTCCTGGAGCTCCGTCTTTCCCAGGTAGATTCCGAGCCTCCATTTTGGGTCAGCCTTGTACCCTTGCTTGGGCTTGCAGTATGCGAAGCAAACCTCCCCAAAGTTGCATAGCTTTCCTTCATAGGCTCGTCCATGTGCCAGTTCAAAGCTCGTAGAGCCATGAAATGGCTGGAAGCGGTTGATCAGCCATGCGCTATGCCTGCACGCCCAGCTCCAAATAGGATGTTGGCCTTGGAATCGAAGCTCAATCTGCTCGGTCAGATTCTCCATCAAAGTTGCTGCCAAACCCCTAATCCGCTGAATGGCGTTCTCCACAAGCCCATTGCCCGCTGAGTCATAGATCTTGGTGGTCCTCATAGTTGTCTTCAAGCCCATTGATGACCTTGCCGTCACTAAGAGCTTGAGGATCTGCCGCAAAGTCGGCTCGTTGTCACTGTAATACTGGACCTCCTCGTGGCCTAAGACCTGGGTGAAGGCCAGCAACTCATGGGTGATGAGGCTCATTTGATTCTTGGACTTCACCGGCAGGGCTAGCAAATACTCTGTTTGTGAGCACACCGCCACCATCAGCAATGCCCCTCGCTCAACCTCCAGCCTAGTCTGGGCCCCGTCATCTTCCTCTTCACTAAGCGCTCCTGAGCCCGGGGCTTTCACGTAGCAGAAGTCGAACGATATAGTTGGGCATCCTTGCTCATGGGCTTCGCCAGTCCTCCTGCGCTGGTCTTGACGTGCTCGATGTTTCAAGCAGGCGGTGCACCAGGCTTCATACGGAAGATGAGTGAGTTCGTGTTGGCGCCTCTCCTCAATCGTTGGCTCTCTTGCGGAAACCTGCTCCAATGGGATGCGCTGGTCCATAGCTCGTCCCTGAGCGGCCAAGTCCCTGGCCATGAGCAGCTCCAGTTGGTGTTGGTGCGACATCAACCGATTGAAGCACTTCTGTTTTCCCCCGCTCTGGCCAATCCGGTAGAAGGCGCACGCAGCACGTAAACTTCGAAGGGGGCTATCCAAAGTGAGCACCACACCGTTCACCTGGATTTGGGATGGCAATGCAACGCCAACCTCAAGCCGGGCCTCCTGGTCCTCTAGGCCAACTCCCTCTTGACCTTCTCCTCCACAAATGTCCATGCCCTCAACTTCTTCCTCCACAGCTGCTTCAGGCACTGCCAATTCCTCCATGCCTTCAGGATCTGCTCTGAAGTGGAAACCATCCATCAACTCAAAACCCAAGGGTCTCGGGCGCTGCCCCTCCTTGGGCAATGAGCGTGATGACCCTGCCCATCTCTTCCTCCTTGAGCTCCTCAATGGGTTCCTCCTGCTCCCACAAACCGTCAAGAGTGGTTCGGCCATCTCAACTAACTCCCATTGTCCACGGCGCTCCACCAAAGTTGACCTGCAGAAGCCCTCACTCTGGTTCCTGAACTCCGGCACGAACTGGGGTGTTTGGTAATGGCGGCTCGAGCGCAATCCCATCCAAAAATGCTCCTTCTTCTTCCATCCATACTGCCCCAATGCCGCCTCTTGTAGCTCTTGACCAAGCTTCACCCTCAGCGTGCGAATCATGCCAGGCTCGTGGATCATCCGGATCGCTGCTCGAACCACAAGGCTTTGGTTCTGAAACGCCAAAGGGACCTCAATCTCATCGTGTTTGAGGCACTGGGTATCACCATCAATCGACCATCCGGTCCTCAACAAGCGCCCATAGGAGAGAATGGGTTGACTCACCAAGTCTGAAAAGGTCACCCGCTCCTTGACGATCACTTCTCTCCCATCCTTGGCATGCATCACGATGTCCACGTCACTGTGGCCATAGGTCTTGATCTTCGTGCCTTGGGCATCCTGGAGGTACGGGCATGCTCCACTGGTTGGAATGCCTCTGTCCATCAGACGTCCTGGGAACAGCGAGGCGTCAGCCCCCGAATCCAGGATCACGTTGACCGTCTCCTCATCCTCAGGCACCTCATTCTCACTCTCCATGTTGTCACACTGCTGGACCGTGTTGATGGCGTAGCCATGGTCCTCCTCATCCTCTGCCTCATCATCGGTGGCAATACTGTAGTACTCCACCGAGGACTTGGGGCTCTCCTGAACCATCCTGATCGAGCCAGTCTGCGATGTCTCTCTCAGATCAAAAACTGCTGGCTGTGAAACACGGCGAATTGCCTTCTGTGAAACCTCTCCACCACTCGTAGTGCTTGTCGTCGCTGTGGATGGAGTAGACCCCTGCTGGCTAGTGGAGCTCAAGCTCTGAGTCGTTGGAGCCTCCACTTGACGTACTCGCCAGCAATCTTTCGACATGTGGCCTGGCTTTCCGCATGTCCAGCACACCTCTGTAGTGCTCTTTCCTTTTCCTCCCTTCTCTTTCCCCCCTTTTCCTTTTCCACTCTTGCCTCCGCCCTCTGACTTCCCTTTGCCCTTGTCTTTGCCCTTCTCTTGTTTGCCCTTGCTCTTGCCCTTCTGTTCTTTTCCTTTTGACTTGCCCTTGTCTTTTCCCTTCTGCTGAAGACGATCCACCTCCATAGGCATAGGGCCCTGGTCTGCACCTGAAGACATAGGGCTTGAGAATGACAATGCACCTGACTCGTTCCATTTCGTAGTGGCATTGTCGAAGGCGATGATAGCCTCTCGAATTTGGGCGTAGGTGGATCCTTCATTAAGGGCAAGATTCAAATGAACTTTCATCTGACCTCCCACCGAGCGCAACAGGATGGCCGCTTTCATGTCCGGGCTAAGCTTACCTCCCAGCTTTTCATAATAGTGCTCTTCCAGCTTCAAGATCTGGGGCAGCAAGGAGGTCCGCATGTTGAAGCTCGGGTAGGCCATGATGCCTTGGAGCAAACTCAAAGTCCTGTTCCTGGCATTTGGTTGGCAATTGCTCAGGAGTTGGCGCAAAGCTTCATAGCCGTTGAACTGCTCCACATTTCGAATCAGGCCCATCAGCCTGCCCTGAACCAAGCTACCCAGGAGGCTGTAGAGGAAGCGTCCACGTTGTTGCTCAGGTTCTGCAAGCAAATCCCAGTCCACCTCGACGTTGAGGTTGTTCTCAATCCTGTCAACCTCTTCCTGGTAGGATCCATCCACCACCAGGAGGTACTGTTTGAATCCCCAGTACCAGTCCCTCCATTGCAACACCTCCTGCTCCCTGTCGATGGGACTGAAGATATTCGGACGGTGTATGAGCTTTGCCAAGTCTCGTTTCGAGCTTCCTGATGATGAACCTTCTCCTCCTCCTTGGGCTTGGGCTGCATTCACACTTGCAGCCGCTTGTGCAGCTTGGGTGGCCGACTGTGCAGCCTGGATCAACGCCTGGGTCAACTCGACCGCCGCTCCTCCAGCCAAGCCAGGATCCGAGCCATCCATTTGTCACCTTTCTCCTCTCCAAGGGCGTCCTCAAAGAAGATGAGATAGGGCCGTCAGGTGATCCTCCGTCAACCTGTTATACTCAAAGACGTGGGCAAGGGGGTACTCCAAGGTGCTTTGATCTCCAGGTTCAAGTAGCCTCACGCACCGAGGGCGAGCAACCTGCCACACTAGTTCTATGAACAGGCACGGTCGCAGCAAAGACGGGGGCGCGAAGGGATCTTTGGGTCCTGTCCCTGGATCCGCCGCCGGAGCTCACAGGAGATGCAAAGCAAATCCTGATCCCAGCTCCGCTACCATGCGAGCGGATGTTTGACTCCGAAAGGGGCCTGCAGTCATCGAAGTGGAATGGCTTATCTTTGCCAATATATAACTATAAACCCATGCTTGCATTATGGTTGAAAGTGTGTGCACCAATCTGTAAATGGGCAAGGGAGCACAAGCACCCTCACATAGAACTGCTAAGCTACAGGTGACCGGCGTGTTTTAAGGTCAGAGAACCATTTTGCATCTTGACAACTTGGCGACACTACACTCGCATTCAAGGATTTCCAAATTCAGAGTGCTGCTGCAACAAACCATGTGGCACTTCAAATCAATCTACCCCACGCAGCACAAAAACCAAAGCTCATTGAATAAAGAATGCAAAGCAGCTACAAAACAATGGTATCAAAGTCACCGAAGCTTCTTCGCCAGCAGGAAGGTCAGGAGGTCAGGATATCCACCAGCCACAGCTGCACTGGGAATCAAGGTCACCTCTCACACCAATCAAAAGCACGCTATTAGGTGGAGGTAATCGCTATTATTAGGTTGGAGGCCATCGCTAGTAGGTTGGAGGCCATTGCTTCCAAGTAACACTCTTTGTGACTCTTTTTCCAGACCACTTTGACCGTCGGTGATGGGCATCTTTTGTGGGGTCGGCACGGACGTTGTTTTGGCCTCATTCTCTACCAAACCAGTACTTATGGCTTTACAAGAAGACTCTTGTGGAGCAAGATTCTTGACCAACAATGGTTAAAAGAAAAAAACACATAACAAGATGACAGGGATTATATGATTCTATACAGTAGTCCTAAAAACACTTGATCGCCAAACAAGGCACATGTTTCTGGATCTGAGCATTACAAAGACACAAACTGGGGGTCGCTTTGCTGGCCATTGGGACATTAACAGCATATCACCAACTTCACAAAGCTCCTAGTAGCGTCCTTGCTCCTAGTAGTAAGGCCAGGAGCCCCTAGTAGCGTCCTTGCTCCTAGTAGCGATGCCAGCAGCCCCTAGTAGCTTCTTTGTTCCTAGTAGCTTCTTCTTATCATATTTAGCAGTAGCATGTGCTTCCAGTTCATCATGGCATCTCGCCCCACAGCTGGCCTTGCTCTTGCGGGCCTGCTCATGCAATGCTAGCGTGCGATGCGACCTCAGTCCACTGCAAGCCGCAGTGATCCACGCAAAACTGTATCCTTTGCTCCTGTGGTGCAACTAGGCTGCCACGGGATTTCCCCACTGACATCACAGTAGTCCGTGCCACAACGGCAGCAGCAATCAAGAAGAAGCTCTCCCTGCGCAGCTTTGGATTGCAAGTATTTGGCTACATGTTCCAATGATGGTGAACACAATGTGTTCAGCTTCTGCTCAAGGTCACTCAGCATGCCTGTGTCAGCATGTACGGGCCAGCGACATTGACAATAACGTAAGCACTGCGGCACCTTGGCAAATTCCAAGTTGGCACATTGCAAGTTTGCAAATTGCTGCCTGGAAGCTTAATCTATCTAGGGCACAGGTCCATTAGAGAAAACACATCATCGTAGGAAGCCTGGCAAACGAGAAAAGAATGAATGGCAAGTCTCACAATGACGCTGACTGGGTCCGCAAAGCCTGAAGAATTGGGATATCTTCCCAATCTGTGCCCATGAACTCACGGTCCCGCAATTCTCGCACCTCGATTGGCATTGCAGAAGCGAAACAATTCCGCCTTTCAAACCATCAGCCTCTCACATTCCGAAACTCTTCAACATCCCCCCTACCTTGTTTGCTGTTCGCCCAGCAAAGGCGAACGTGAAGGGCTCTGGATTTCTCTTCAAAGCAGTTCCTTGGCTCAGCCAGTTCCCAACGCGGGTCTTGCGCAATGGACTTCCAACCAAATCAATGGACTGTCACACCAAGCCGCTCTTCAAGTACTGAATCATCAAATACCCAGTGTATCCAGATACACCTCAAAGGATCTGTTGATGCGTTTTTATCTGTCATGTTCATGCCAATCTGGCTCGAGTCAGTCGGGGTGCCATAGAACACAATGTCATACTTCATGCCATCCCAATTCGTTGCCCAACTCATGTTGAGGAACCTTGGAGTCAACTGTGCAATGAAACACTTCTAGGGTTGCTGCCTTTGGAAAGCCTAAAAAACGCGGTCTAGAGTCTATATAGAATACTTCTGAAAATCGCCATGCAGCTTCGTGAAGTATGCATCGAACTTTTCCCATGTCTCTTCATTGTCACCATCAGTATTGATTATGTCCTTGATCCAGAACACATGGCGACTAAGAACAAACATATCATGTACAACCGACCAACAAGCGCCTTCAAAGACTCTGTGCACGCTTCATACTTGGAAAGCATATTGCCAGTGAAGTAGATCTCATGAAGAAAAGAATAAGAAAATTGAATTTGCAAGCAGGATGAGTTTCGCTGTTCTGAGGTTATGAAGCCTCAGGACTTGCAATGTTTCGAATCACAAACCAAGCTGACCTCTTCAATCGGTGTCTGAATGTGGGCAGTCTCCAGCACAACGCCCTACAAAGCCGAGGGATGCAAGCTCGGGCAACCTAGAAAACTGCAATGCGGGAGCGAGCCTCGTACTTATCGAACTCATGCGGCTGGTGCTTTCCTCTCTCCTCAACCACTACCGAATCGTGTGGTTTGCATCTGCCACATGATGCAATGAAAGCATAGCTGACAGCATTAAACCAATGAAATCAAAATCAATACATCCAACCACTGCCACCCCACTGGGACAATCAACATGCAAGTGAACCCAAGGTTTATGCAAAGAAACAAATCCAAGTGCAATCAAAATGCCACGTTCACAATCTTCTTTGGTCCGGGCGCCATTGTTTTTCCCTATGTGACGAAGTGAGGTCTTGGAATTAAATGGGAGATACAAGTGCAAGTTCTGCTCGCCAGTAAAGAGTACATCAATCTCTTTTCAAGCGTCTGTGTTTGAGTCAAAGAAACCCTAGCAGTTTTGAACAAAAAGGAACAAAATACATGATCAAACCACCCCCTGCTAACTTGAGCCAAATGGAAAGCACAAGTCTAAACCCGCGCTGGCACAACCAACACAGCAAAAGAGAACCGTGAGTCCCATCGGTTATATAAACAAAATGCAAAAGAAAATGGCAAGTTTACAAAACCAATTTGACATCCACATATGCGCCTGCGAAACAATGAAAAGAGACCATGATTTGTGCACATGTGCTGACCCCCAAAAAAACCTGCGGCGCAGGGCATGGCATGACACCGTATACTAAATCGTTTTTACCGTTGTTGGATGAAAGTTCACGGTGTGGTTTGGTGACAAGCTCTCTGATGTATTGCGGGAAGTACTCAAAATGTTCCCCATCCAAAACCCGTGCTGTATTTGAAGCAACCAAAAAGTCTTTAAAACGATTGTATTCCTGTGTGTTGAGCGTGTTGGATGTGCGGGCAAAGTCCCGGTCATGCAGCACGAACTCACAAACATGATATTGTTTTTGAGTTCGTGTCGGGACTATGGTCCTTTTGGCATGGTCAATGGTTGTCTCATTGTGTTCAATTGCCTTAAACTGTGAAACAACCTAAGGTCGTCTTTCATCCATCAGTTAGAGCCAACAAAAGTCGTTCTCCGCTGTCCCGCCAAGCCCTCAAAAACACAACCTGGCAGGCACAATTCACTGACTATGAAACAAACTGCGCCAAACACCAAGCACACGGACTTTGCGTTTTGTGTTTTCCACTCAAACCATGTGTTGAAGTCAGACCTCACGTCACTAAAAGGAAAAAAGAGGTCGCGAAATCCTCATGTGAACCAAAGCTAAAGTGTACAGGATGTGAGACACAGCTGAAATTCGGGTTTTCAAAGGTACTCACTATCAATGGGCCTGAATTCTCGAACGAAGACCAAAAAAACCAGCTTGAGTCAAACCCATCCTCTCCATGGTAGCGGACTGCTGTTTGGGTGTGCGGCAGATGGACTCTCCAACTCTAACTGGCTGATCGTCCCTGACGAACAAGCCAAAATTTTTGTAAGGTGTAGCAAACTGAATTAAAGGCTCAAAGGAGGTGCATCCCTATCTAAACATCTCACCGGCAAGTTGGAGTTGGGAAATCCTCCGGGCTCTGGCAAATTTATGAAAAAGGTCAAAGGAAACACCAGGACAGCTAAGACGTAAACGGGCACGAACCCCGGGAATCCTCAAATTGCCAGAAACATTGGGATGAACAATTGGAACACGGGCGCCAGGCACCAAAAGACCAATCTGTCTTTCCAATGAGCTGAGGATTTTCCGCCAAGCTTGAAAGCTCTGGAAAGTTGTTGGCACGCTTAACATCCAGTCTTCCTTGTCTCCCGGGAGGATGAATTCCTTTTTTCCAGTGGAAAAACAAGAACACTCAAAGGGAGGAATCAAGCCTGTATCATGAACAAAGTGAGCAAATATCTCGAACCAAGATATGTCGGTGAGCGATCCCCCCACACAACAAGTGAACCATTCACAAGACGAGATCCATATTAAATTGGCATCGTCGGGCTGCGGAGTTTGAAATTGAATTTCCAGCGAAGGTTCCAGCGAATCAGGTGGCATGTGATCTTCCATTGTATTCTTATCAACTCAGGATCAAGGTTGCTAGGGTCTCGACTGATTCCGGCAGCGTCGGAATGGACGCTATTCCTTCAATTGCTCTCTGAAGGCCCTATGGAACTCTCACTGCTGGTCCTCCGGAAGGAGGCCAACTGCATGCATGACCCCTGCATGCAGATTGAGCAGCGGCGCTGCTTGCACATGTGGGAATCCCACACGCTTGGCAACAGTGCTCCATGGGACAAACAGGCATAGCGCGTGCAGCTGAGGATCCGGCAGTGAGGGGCTGCGAGCGATTTGCCGCCTGTGACCCTCTTGGAAGTCTTGGTCTGTGGCTGCCTGCAACAGCTGTCGAACCAAATTTTTCGTGGGGGTTCTACTGGCTCTACGTCAGGGTCTGGTGGAGGGCCATGCCAGGGGTGTGTGCTGGGGATCGATTGCAGTCGTGCGCCATTGCGTCAGGAGACAAAAGCGAAAAGCACTGTTGCCTGCCAGAGCCACCCTTTTTTTTCCACGAGTACGGACGCCGTGTGGGCATGGTGCCCAGGTCATCGTTGAAGGAAGGGAAGAGCAGTCAGACGGTGGAGAAAAGAACTTGAGGCCAGGGGAGAGGTCGAAAGCTAGCCGAATCGCACCGGATGTACTAGTTACATAGTCGGCAAAGCATGTAGGGATGACATGTTTTGGGAGGAAGGTTGCTATGCACATACTTTGCGCTAAAGAATGTAAATGTGACATCGCTGACTGGGAAGGGTACATTGGAACAACCCGGGTGCACTCGTTGGCAGGCACGAAGATGCGTGATCGGCAAATCTGGGGGGTAAATTTACCCTCCGCTTTTGTATGCCTTGAGTCGGAAAGAGGGGTAAGCATTTCTGACATCATACGGACTGCACATACACTAGGGCGTCCGTAGTGTAGGAGAAGCACGGGTAAAAGGTATATGGAATAGAGTGTCTTGAGGAAATAGCCGGTGTATGGTTATTGCAAATCTGGGGGGTAAATTTACCCCCCGCTTATGTATGCCTTGCGCTGGAAAGAGGGGTAAGCATTTCCGGCATCACAAGGACTGTGCATGCACTAGGGCGTCCGTAGTGTAGGATAAGCACGGGTAAAAGGTAGAAGGAGTAGAGTGTCTTGAGGAAATAGCCGGCTTATGGTTATGGCAAATCTGGGGGGTAAATTTACCCCCCGCTTATGTATGCCTTGAGCCGGAACGAGGGGTAAGCATCACAAGGACTATGCATACACTAGGGCGTCCGTAGTGTAGGATAAGCACTGGTAAAAGGTATCAAGAATAGAGTGTCTTGAGGAAATAGCCGGTGTATGGTTATAGCAAGCCTGGGGGGTAAATTTACCACCCGCTTATGCATGCATTAGGTTAGAAATAGGGGTAAACAACTTGTAACGGTGAAGTACAAGTCCTATGCAGCAAGCAGCAGCCAGCAGCAGCAGCAGCAGCAGCAGCCGCCTGCAGCCAGCAGCCAGCAGCAACCACCAACCAGCAGCCAGCCAGCAGCACCACGCAGCAGCAGCGCAGCATCAAGCCGCAGCAGCAGCAGCAGCACCACCGGCAGCAAGCAGCAAGCAGCAGCAGCAAGCAGCAAGCAGCAAGCAGCAGTAGCAGCGGCGTCGTCAGCAACAGCAGCAGCAGCACCAAGCTGCAACAAGTAGCAAAGCAGCAGCTACAAAAGCGGCAACCAGCGGCAGCAGCAAACAGCAGCAGCAAGCAGCAGAGCGGCAGCAGCAGCAGCACCCTTTACACCAAGCCACCGTTACACCCAACCAACCACGTTCACAGGTTCAACCAACCCCCTACACGGCGCGGCGGGGAGGTGGACCGCGGGGGGGGGGGGGGGGGGGGGGGGGGGGGGGGGTTAGCTTGATATATCAATCTTTAAGGCACGCAGCCCCTCCCACCACAACATTGCTAAAGCAAAGAAGAACTCAGCTAGCATGCTAGCTTTCGTGACAAAGACCCCAAAACCAACCCAAAACCAAACACCCCAAGCCCGCAGGCCGAAACTCCACCATCTTGTAGTCTTTCCTCTACACTGGGTGAGACATGTGAAACGGAAACTAATGGCAATTAATGGGCCTGAATTCTCGAAAGAAAAGGACGGCAGCGCAGGTCTGTGGTCAGGGAAAGTCTCCTAGAAGGCTTCAAACGGCTTTCCTTCCCAAATATTGGTGACCAGCGGCCACACCACAGTGTGGCAAAACAAAGTCACATTGCAGGTCAGCTGTCTCGCGATGCTCCAGCGCCGTTTGTAGTCATGTCGACCAGGAGTGACAATATCTGAGCAGCAATCCGTGGCAAAGACCATTCTTGTAGCACAACCCATTCAACTGGTGGCGCATACAAGGCCAGTCGCATGTTGCCCGACAATAGTCAAACCGTGGCGGCTATTGCTAGCGAGGAAAGCCTGCAGCTAAGGGTGAAGAAGGCACATCCTCCCCGAAGGGAGGCAAACCCAGCACCCTTCGGCGCGCACCGGTGCCACTAGGGGGTGTCTCTTGAGTCAGTGAGGCGCTGCGTAATTGCAAAAAGTGGTCTGCTGCACGCAAGGCCCGTGTGAAACAGGTGAAACTTTGAACTCTCCTAGCATGATATCTGTACCTCTTTGTACAAAATTGGAAATGTCGGACATCAACAGCGGAAACTAAGGTTCCCCCTGGGCATCCTTCATTGCCACTATCTACCACCCGCCGGTTAGGAACGCAGAACTAAGGCTCTCGCTCCTATCGGCTCACCGCGCAGCGATGGCGAAAAGAGGTCATGGTTCTACTTGGTGTTTGCGCATTTTACTTGCCGTATATGCCTGGAAGTCACCGTTTCCTAGTGCTCGAAAACTGACACTTGGCTCTGCTCACTGCCTACGTCGCCCTTGCTCCTTTCCTGCCTCGGAAGCATTGCTGGCCTTTGGTGCAGGATCTAGAAAGTCTTCTCGCCAGAGATCGTTTGCATCAATCGGCAAGACTCGAAGCCACGTGGGCTTGTCGAAGTGCTCGCATTTGTCAAAAGCATTAGACTGGGCATATGTCCCTCGCCATGTTCTGCTTTTCCTTGCTTGAGGATTATTCGAAGGTGCGTGCAGCCTGCAAAGGCATGCCTCGCAATGTAAAGCAGGGATGGTGGAGTAGAGACCTCCTTTAGTGAAATACACTTGTAAAAGGCTTCTTGCTCAATGGTCCTCAGCATGCGGGGAAGGCAGAGTTGTTGCAGCTGCGAGCAGTAAGCAAAGGTTGAGCCTAGAATCTCAAGTACGAATGTTTGGGACAGATCAACGATTTGCAGCTGCTGGCAGCTCAAACAGGC